AAAACCTCGTTTTTTTTTTATTTGAAACATAATGACGAGTCAGTTTTTATTCGTAAAGACTAATAAAAAAAAACACCTTTTTTCTATAATGTTGATGTACTTAGTGTTTAAGAATAAAACTAATTCTAGTCATCTCTTGCAAATAAAACAAAAAAAAGTTTCTTAATTAAGCTTGCTCAGTAGTAAAATTATATATGCATTTGTTAAGTGATCATGAATTCTGAGATACTTTGTATGCCTGTATTCATTCTTTTTTAATTATTTGACAAGTATAAAAAATGTATCTAATAGAATATTTTATATCTCCCTGGAATTGTTTTAAACAAGAAATGATTAGGTTTTTTTTTTTCAAAATTATAATAAAGGATGTTAAATAGACTGTAAAATGAAAAATATGCGCTATTCTTTGTCAGAGCTGCAAGTCTGACCTAGTGACATGCAATGTTAACATTTTTTTTTCAAAGTCTACCGGAAATGAATGTCCTTAGTCCTTTTGGAATGTTAAATGTCATTATAGGCCAAGTAATATTTTAAAAACAAATTATTGAAATAACTTCAAAATGCATTACAATATGCAGAAGAATAAATGGAAGGAAAAATCTAAGAAAGACTATAATTATAAATGCATTTTAACTTCTTTTCAGATGAAGAAAAAAAAACATGAATTAAGTAATAAAATCAATTGAAATATTTTATTTTAGCATTGCTGACGGGTCGGCAGTGAGATTCTGTCGAATTGCATCCTGGTTCGAAAATTCCTGTCAATGACGAACCATCGAAATAGTCAATTACATTTATAAGACGATTATCATATCGTTTACCAAGATTATCTATAAAACATTGAATAATAATTGTTTTTTCTTGACATGAACAATAAATTATAGAGGATTAGAATCAACATTTGCTGCAGATATAATCTTTGGTACAAAAGCTTCAAATTAATTTTTTTTCCAGTATAGTGAAACAATAAATCATCGTAAAGAGTCAATCGTTTTCTTGTTAGAAAGAACAAAGATATGTGAAAGTATTTAGCAAAAACTATTTATCAACAATTGAAAAGTTCTCTGCTGGCTTTGACTAATAACGAATTTCGAAAAATAAGATTTTTTTTTCATCAATAGAAATCATTAAAATTAGTATTCAAATTAATCATTCAAACATAAGAATTAGTCTTGCGATGATATTCATTTTAATTTAAACATTTTTCAACGTTGTGTCATGTTCAAAGAAAGTTCTAATGACATTTACAAAAAAGTATTTCTATGTACTCAATCTTGAAAACTATGATTATAATGATCTTAGTTGACAAAATTGAATTTTGCTTAATATTGAAAATAAAGATTTTGTTTTATCGACTCAAATCAAGTGAAGAATAAAATACATATCAAGTTTACTAACATTCAGACTATCGAATGAATAAAAAAACGTTCTTTAAAAATTAATTCGATTAATAATATTCGTGTAAAATAGAAATATTTTATATTACAATCATATATCCAGAAATTATCCATTGTATAGAGACAAGAGAAAATGAATTTATTTCTCTAATTAATGTTTTTCTGGATATACGATATGATTTATTTTGAATAGAATTTCAAAAAAAGTACGTCTTCATAAGAAGCATTCATTTGATGTCAATGATATTCATCAAATAAAGATTTTTAATTGTAAAATTTGAAATTCCAGGTCTTAAGACAACAATTATATTAGAATAGAAACAGTTAATCTATTTTTTTATGACTAAATAGCTAAAAGAATAAAGATGAGAAGGAAAAATTTTATTATATCCAATTTCTATTGGTTATTCATGATGACTTCCTTCATCAATTATGATTTTATTTATAATATTTCATTATTAACTCATGCCTATTATCTTTTGAATGAAAAGAATAATATAATCATCAATATCTTCTTTCAACCATACACTTCCTTTCATCCTATTATATTTCATATGGATATAATTCTTTTAGAAATATTATTTTTCATATAAAAATATATTTCGACATAGATATTTCCTAATAGAAAGTTCTATTTTTGAAATTTATATTTTCTCATATCTTTTTTAATCTCAAATAATATTTTATAAGTATGTACTAATAGAAAAGACCATTAACTTCGCTTTAGTAGTAGGAAAAAAAAACAACAGTTTAGCATACATTATTTTTCTCATTTCTCATTAAACACAACTTATTGGAGACATCCAACTCATTATATCAATAATCCTCGAAATGAATTACAAGACTGACATTTGATTATGTTTCAGGACATAAGTATTTTAGTTTCTATTGGATAACACAATTTTGTTTAGTAAAAAAAATAATATACTACTTTCAGTACAGAATTAGCCAAAAAAAGCATTCATTATCATCTTCGCAGATTAATAAATACATAAGTATTAGTTATTTTGAATTAATAATTACTAGTTATTATTATTTAGTGCTTTATTAATAATGTTATGATTTATTTCTAACTTCTAAGTATTTGATATGAAGCATGATAATTGTCTTCAGGGAGATTGTTAGAGTGTTCTGAGTTGTAATTAGACATATTCATGATTATTTTCAATAAATTCATTTATGAAATAAAGTTTTAGATCGACAAAAAATTAATGAGTCTTGAATAGTAGTATTTACTCTTTTAAACGATTTATTCTTGTTTTCTAGAAAGTATTTTATTCGAACTTTAAATAACCTTTACTTTAAAGGAATATTTTACCTCATAATTTTTAACTATTTTTCTCTACTTTTTTTGTATTCCATAAATTCAAAGACTCTGAAAAGTTTGAATAGAATAATGTGTAGAAAAACGATGATATACTGTTAAAATAATAAAGACTATTTCTAATAAAAACTGAAAATCTCACTGAGACGATCGATCTTTCATATGATATTAACAATTAATTAATATCCTCATATGAGTTATTAACATGCAGCCTTTTAAAAATAACTAAAAAATAATCAAATCTCAGTCTTGTAAACTACTTCAAGATTCATCAAAATCACGATTTAGATATTTCAAATAAGTTGTCTTATCTAGCGCCCATGCTCTTTTTTGTTTTTTGTTTGGTTTAGATAGTTGCAGAGAGTGCATTCTATTTAGCATGATTTTAATAAAAGTTCTATCTAATGAATTATTAAACATATGTTTTGTCGTTTGATGTCTCTTGATAAATATGCATTTGACAGACAAATTTTTTTTTTTTTTGTTTTTTAATCATTCATATTTCTATCATTTACACATAGTTATCATTTTATAAAGATTTATGAATGTTTTTATACTATTTTAATAATGATTCAAATTAAATAAAAAAATTATATTCAACTGGTTAAACAATATACAGTAAACTATTCATCGAACTACAAATATTGATTAATTTCTCTAGAGAAAAAGAAAAATTGTTTTTTAATATAATAGAAGTTCTATATGAATGTGATGTCTAAAAAGCAATAGCATCTTTTTTAGTTTTTGAAACACCCTACAGTGAACATCAATAAATATAATATGCTTGTAACTTTCATAGATGACATTTGGTTTTGTTTTTTTTGTTGTTGAGATGTTATTTTCATTTCTCTAAATGTTACTTATTATATATTAATAGTAAATCTTCAAGCAAGATACTTAGAAGAAAATATCATCATTCACATAAATCTCGATCAAATAAAATATATAAATATGTTTTCTTCCTTATTATTATTATTATTATTATAAATAGAAACAGGTGGTCAAAATTTTTCTATTATTTTTCTTTCTTCACATTGCATGTTTATATAGCAATTATCATTATTAGTTTTTTTTCTGTTTTTGTGGAAAATTTTACATACGTCTTCCTTTTTTTTTCTTGTTGAGCTGCTTATTAACAGACTATGTTTGTCTTTTTTTTCTTCTAATTGCCTTTTTAAATGACAAATTTAACCTTCATGTATACTATTGACAAGGTAGTGCTTTGCTCTTGATGAGAAAAAAAATAAGAATTTTGCATGTTACATTAGCCTTATTCGATAAGAGACTTAGAAATAGACCAACGACAATATAAATTGACGTTTATGTCGTTCTATATTTTCATCTAAGCTTAAAATGTTATTTTTTTTCCTTCATATTAAATATGAACTTGTTGAGTAGTGATGTTTTTTCTTTACTTAGAAGACATTACATTAACTTTTATTATTTAGGAACAAAAAATATAAAGACAGTTATAAAAAGTATTGTTTTGTGCTCTTTTTGTTTTTTTTTGTTAAATAATTTTCGTTTATTATTCATAGTATTATGAATCATTTAACACCGGAACCAGTCGAACAATTTCCGCAAACAATTGTTCAAGAACAATCATCAAATTTAACTAATACTAATGAAGATGATAATACATTTGTAACAAATGCAACTCTTAATGATCATCAAGCAAATATACGTCGTCGAGCACCAACAAGACATTCAATAAAATCTTTAACAGGTCGAAAATCATTATCAAAACAAAATTCAACAAAAGAGGTAAACAATCTCTTTATATCTTCATTATATATTATAGACTCATGTGCAAATTTTTTTTTTTTGATAAAATGTTTTTTTATTTTTCGTTTAATCTTGATTAAGTATTCAAGCGATATTATAGAACAACGAAATATCTATTTCTATGTTAACAAAGTATTTTATCAAGTATGCATTGATATGTAGTAGTATGATACAGTTAGAAAGAAGTCGTACTTAAATAACCGATGAATCAGTCGTTAATTAACGGATATAAATCTATTACGCTTTTAGAGTTAAGAATATTACTATTTATTCTTTGTTTACTTTTTGTGCAGCTAAATACAAATATTTCCTCTTTTTTTTTTCTTCTCTCTTTCGTCCTTGTCGACTGCCCTCTACTACATACATACCAAACTGGTATTCCGAGGTTAAGCATAGAGAAACAGACGAAACTGTATCAAATATGTTGATAATTATTCAAATCTACTATCGTTCTTTCTAATATTATCCTATCTTAATAACAAAACAACAAAACAATGTTTGGATCCACAATTTCAAAATCGAATAGAAGAAAATTAACAAGATATCATACAATACATGTAAATTCATCGATTGAAACAGAAATACTTCATAATATTCCAAGTGTTTCACAAATAGCTCCATTACCAGAAAGTAAATCACCTGGTATTTTACCAATTTTAAGTCTTGATAGACGCGATTCATCAAAATCAATAGTATCTGATAGTGAATTATTACAAGATACAGAAACAACAAATGCTTCAAGTGGTCATCAATCGGTGGGTGAATACAAAATAAAATCTATATATATATATCAGTTTGTCAATGTAATAAAATTGAGAATCTGTAGACGCTTTTCTATTAGATTTTATAACAAGAATTGTCACTTTAATGCCTTCTTGATGACAACGTGAAAAACTATAGAATAAAATCTGTATGTTTTCTTTTACTTGAAAACAAATTTGAACTTTTTGTAAGAAATTATACAATAACCTAGAAGATTAAACCTCCCCCCTCTCAAAAAAGTCACTTTTCGTCAAAATCAACGAAATTAAGAAAAACGCAGGAAAAGATAGTCCGTCATCGAATCTCTCATAAATAACAAAAATTTTTGCTCGGCACGTTCTTTTTTTCCAAAAATTTTTGAAGCTGTCCATCCTCTATTCGAAACACAAGCTATTTTTGAAAAAAAACCGAAAATCTTTTTCGATTTTTCTCATTGTATAGGTTCTCGATTACATCTTCATGATTTCTCGAAGGAGGTTCATTGTAGCCAATAGTTTTTTTTTGTTTGAAAGAGCATGTAAAACTGCAGTGCCTATGAGAGCCAGTTTTTTTTTTATTAAGCTTTGCTTTTATTATATATACAAACCTTTATATAATTAGAGCGCCATTTTTGGAGAGGTTTTTTGAGTCATTGAACTTTTGATCCCTTTTTTTCCTTGAAAAGTAAGACTTTAAAAAACAAGGACTCTCATAGACACTGCATTCTGACATGCTCTTTCAAAGAAAAAAAAATATTAAATGTATAGATTGAAGAGCACAGGGAAATTTCGGAGACAAAATTAGCTATTTTTTGACCCTTATTTGGCCGATGTCTCCATCAAACGTCATAATACAGGGCTGAGAAGTTTACCATAGCCATGGTTCATCAGTCCCAATATATCTTGAAAATTTCATGCCATTCGAATATTCCTAGTCTGAGATCGAATTTTGAGGAAGGAGGGGGAAGCTTAAGTGCTTTGTGGTTGTAATGCTATTGACATAAGATATTTTCTGTTCAGTTAATTGAATAAGTATTTTAATTTTGATGAATAATACATTTTGCGTCTTTATTCATCATGTATATAAAATTATAACGCTACTTTATCTTTTTTTTACTAAGTATATCATAGGCAGAGAATTAGATTCATTCTTTATGCTTTATATTACAAATTAGATTTTCTTTTTTAATAGAAATCAGATTGATAATATATATATATATATTAATTCGTAAATTTCGAGAAATATCGTTAACATCTTCTATTTCTAATAAGGGAAATATCTTCAATTGATAAATTCATTTTAAGCTGAGACTACAGTCAATCGATAGAGTCTAGGGAGAAGATAAATATTCTAGCATTGGTCGAGCTATTGGATATTTGTTGCTGAGATATCGATTTTTTAGTAAATTTTTCAAGTTGAACTAAACTTTTTGAATTTAGACTTAAGACTTTGCCTATATAATAGCTTTGATAAGACTAACTAGTAGAAAAAAGTTTACAGTGCCATGACTAAGTCTTTCCAAGATATGATTTGTTCAACATATTCATGTTTTTTTAAATGATCATGGCAAAGCGCCTATATTTTGATGAATTCATATCTCAGAGAGATTTTCTCAAACAATTTTTAAAAAATTTTTGAATAAGCTAGTCTAATCGAAACCATCTTGTTGGCGAAGTATCAAGTCAAAATTATAAAGTATAATATTGCTTGAAAACTGGGACCTCTCTGAAAAAAATCCACTAAAATTTTGATATCTCAACAATGAAATCTCGACAATTTGAAATAGTCTAAGTTATTTGACTAATGACTAAGCTCTATCGATTGAGAATAGTCATACTTAAAAAATGATTTGTCATTTGGAAACCTTCCGTTGTAAGTAGAAACAACTTATTTATTTCCTGTGTATACATGATTTCTACAATAAGATTTGCTGTTTTAAACGTAAGAATATGAGAGAAATAAATCATTACCAAACGAATTCTTATTTCTGAATTTTGATTAATGAATTACAGTAATATCAATATTGGAAATAATTCTTGATGAGCGTTTCACCTTTTTTTTAAAATCTTATTCAAAGCTATAGTAAAAATTCATGAAATACAAAAAACAAAAGTTTTGGAATCGATCGAAAATTGCTAGTTTTTTTTTATACTTTCGTCGATCGATTTCATCTGATTTTGAGATCAGTATTTTGCATTAGACAAAATCTAAGAAACAGTTTCAGAAAGAGCATTCATAATTGATCATAAAAGACATGAAGAGCCGATAGGAGTCCGGAAATTCTCAATATTCTGAAACCCGATTAGAAATTCATTTATCCTTGTTTTACAAAAAACACGTATCCAATATCGGAAATTATTGAGCTCTCAGCAAGTCTACATACCAGTTATGATCAGTTTTGAAATGCTCTATGTGTAACTTCTTAATAACGAAAGAAATGTCATCTTTGACATCATGTTCTTGGAAGTAATATGACCCTAATAGAACTTGTCAAATCCAAATCTTGAATGGTTTCAGAAGAGTTCATTACAGAACTTATAATGTACATCAGATGCAGATAATGTAATTAAAGTTTTGTTCTGTTTTTTTTTTTGACTTTTATAAATCACAATTTAAAACGAATGTTGAAGTATCAGGATGAAATTCAGATCCTTACAGACCACAACAAATATTGTCAATATACAATTACAAATAGAGTCCTGCAAAGTCAAATTTTACAACTTCGAGAAGCTCTAAAACTCTTTTTGATTGACATATATACTTTTTCTTTTATGCTACTTATTAAATGAGAAGATCTTTTGGATGTCTTTTATTTTTGTTGAAATGTATTCATGAACTTATCAACTAATGCATTTTTGTTTATATTTTATTACTCCACAACAGGAAGCTCTTCATAAAGTTTTTTGTTATAATTAAAAATTTCCATATGGTTTAGTTAATTGATCTGATTGTATCTTTACAGGAATCATTTTGAGGAAACTCTTATAACACACATCTAGGCATATTGAATTTAGCTTATCAGTAGACTTTTTATCAATCTCAAAGAAATAATGTAAATGTAACAAATCTCATGAGACACATGTATACGTTTGAGTTCACCTCAGGGTAGATTTTTTTTTTTGTCAATGATATATTTATCCTTATGAGATTTGATTTTGTTTTTGATTAGTTCAATGCTCTTTATTTGCTTTCTATGATTGTGAATTGTTTATCATATACGCACTATCTTCTGTTAACTGTATATGATGTGTTTTTTTCTTCTTTTTTTTAGAAAGTTACAAAACCCGATATAATAAAAAGAAAACTACTTGACTATTTTACTGATGTAACTCTCCGACATTGATTCCGAGCAAAAAATTCTTCACAATAACTCCGATCAAGTCGGAGTCGAAATTAAATTTCGGAATTCAATGTAAGACTGTAATCACAGCTTACATATCAATAACATCTTGTTATAATATATAAACTATTTCCTTATTGTATTTCTGAAGGATTAAGTCAAAGGGTGGTAAAGACATGCGTCTTAAAATAGATAGAATAAAAAAAAAAATCTTTATGTGATTAGTAACAGCAGCTACATGTTGTCTTACATTTTAATCCCGTAGGGATTTGCTAACAACTTGGTTGTTGCCGAATAAATTAAAGTATTCTTTTGATATAAAAATTGATTCAGATTCAGTAAAAATGAATCAAAATTATTAGAAATCAGTTTATTCTTCTTTTGTATTAATCTCTTGTATTTATTTCAATATAAAATAGATAGAACAAAGATTTGTATGTGTGTGTGTGGAAGGAGTTTATTGTTCTTGTCTAAAGTTTTATTTAGACATAATTGAAATATCTGTATAGAAAAAAAAAAAAGACATTTCATACTAATTGATTTTATTTTATTTTTAGAAATAAAATATATTTGTCCATGCAAAAAGAAATTTTAATACTATAAAAAGGAAATAATCACTTGACTTAATTTCCCAATGAAAAATTTCATAGAAAAAACCTCCAATGAATAATCCTTCTCTATTCATTAAATGAACATTATAATCAGAATAAGAATCATATTAACAATTAGTAAATTTGAAGAGAACTTTCTCAAGTTTCTTGTTAAAATATTAATTAGATTTTATTTTTAGCATCGTACATCTCTTGATCCAACAGTACGACGACAATATTCGTATTCTCAAAGCTCAGCTTTATCTGATGGCAGTAAGTTTTTTTTTTTCTTTAAATTCTTGAATGCATAATCAACTATCATTATCTTTTTTTGCATAAAAAAAAATAAAACCATGCATGAAAAAAGAAAATTATAATACAAATAATGTCATTGCTAATGATGCATAGTTCGTTGGTGTGATTAAACATGATGAGCAATAAAAAGAAAATAGAATGACACCTATTCGTTTAGCTAAATGTCATCATTCATTCTAATAGTTATTGTCTACAATTAAATTATTTTTATTCTAAGTCAACGATTTTTTATATTTTTTTTTTTTTTTGTATCATGAATACTGAAAGCTATACAAAAAATTTATTCAATTCCATTAATGAATGTCAATCATAATGAGTACAAAGACGATTTATCATGTATTCAAAAAAAAGAAATAAAAAACAATTAAATATCAATTCCTCATTCTAATCTTATTATCAATCATGTGTTACTATCAATAGAATTGTAAGATGAGTTTTCTTGTTCAAAATCTCGATCAACAAACAAGTATGTTAGTATTAATAGAAAAAGAAAAACAATCGTCATCTCGATAAACCAACCATATGTATACTATAATTATTATCAGACATCTCTATTTTTATAACATTGACACTATGAAAATTAACACGTTTCTCATTCTATTATTATATATATATATATTGATCTAGTGTTATTGACATGACTGACACAAAAATCGACATGAATACAAATCTGTATATACTATATGGTAGTAAAAGATATTTATGTCTATTGTTGTGTCATTCATTCATCTACACTTAATAATAGAACAGGGAAACTGGTTATTGTTGTTGTTGTTCTTGTTATTGAATATGCCACTCAGAGTACTATTCATTACTTGATTTATTAACTTATGAGACTTGAATGCATCTGTTGGTTATATCAATTGCGTACATAAAACTTTGTAACATCTGGAGATTTTCCAGTTGCAATATAATAATTATAATAATAGTCAACAAATTGAAGCTTAAACATGAGTAGCAATGATACTATTGCATTCCTTTAAAATGATAATAACAAATGATGCGTTTGAATATATCATATTGACAATTATATGTTCAGATTCTGGATATGAAATTTTGTTTCTACATAATGCAAACTAATTCAACAGTACATCGAACATTTCAATTACTATTCCAGAAGATATATGCAAGTCCGAATAGTTGACTACTCATTCTCTTTTTGATGTTTTTTTTTTCTCCATTAGTCACAGAGAACATTCAATATAATATATACTAGAGAAAGCAAAAAAAGAAAAAAAAAAAAGAAAGAGACAACGCCCAAGAAAATTATGTCGTTCTTATTTTCCTATGAGATGGAAAGAACGACAGAGACACTAACACCTCCTTCATCATCGTCTTTCTCTTTATTTTCTTCGCTCGTACTTATATGCTATTGTTATTGACATCTTTGTCATCATACCAAAAAGTTATTTTTTTTTCTTCGATAAACTCATGTCGAATAACGAGAATGATGGTAATGATGATGAATTAGCAATTGATCCTGAAAAAGTACAAGGTCGTCGTAATCGTCGTACATCTATTCAATTTATTGACAAAAATCTTATTCGACGACGTTCATCTGGTAATGAAAAACCACAAGGACAACAAACACAACGTTTATCATCAATTAATTCAACATCGGATAAAGATTCCGTTGATTTAGATCATTTACAACAATATAGTGAGAATCCATATCTTAAAAAGAAAGTTTTTTTTTTTTTTTGTTTTTAAAGAAAATAATCAATATACAGATGGTTCGATATAATTATTGTTTCTATTTTTTTGTTTTTCTTTTCTTTTTTTAGCAACTGCAAGTGATAGTGATAGTGATGCTGATGATGAATGTGGTATTAATATACGTGAATTGCAACATGTTCGTTGACGATTAGAAATTTTAGTTTCTCTATTCTTCTTTTTCTTATTATTATTATAGAAAAATCAATCAGGTTTTACAGATTTTGCTGTTAGACGTATAAAACATGCGCTATATGGTCGACGAGAAATTGAAATTGCTGAACAAGGTTTGTTTAATTTAAAGAATTATATAAAAAAGTAAACATTATTTTTATTTTCCGTTATATAAATATGAATAGACTTATAATGAGTATTTACTTTATCATTTCTTTTCTACTGAAGAGTTTTTTTTTTCTCTCCACTCGACCTATGAAATTTTCATTTTTATATCTAACAAGACCTATGTTAATTCTAATGATGAGAACAATTAATTTTCTATTTTGAAAACTTTTCCATTTTGTTTTCATAAGTTTATCATGACTGAATAATATTCTAATTCAAGAGTGATTCAATAGATATTCGTTTCGAACATATTCCAATCGTGATCGACATGTTGAACTTTTTAGCAAGAAGAAATCGAAATTAGATTTATTTTTTTTTTTTATAGCCGGAAGAGTGCTACTTGATTTGTTTATCTCTTCAAGATTTGAATTATAATGTTTTGATTTTCATCATGTATTTTA